TTAAATTAAATTATAAACTGGTGAAGCGAGGAACTAAATAATGGATAAGAAAATAGATTTAATCACTATTATTGTCTGCTAATTGAAACCACTTGGTTTTTTTTAAATAGATTTAAGTTATTATTTAAAATGTCAATACTATCAATCAATTAATAGATAACAAGCAACTATTTAATCTTTGTAAATTAAATGTGAGTTAAAAAATGTAACCGCTTTTCACTAATAGAATATAGATGTATGTAGTATTGGGTCATGGACTAAAATAATTATAATATCCATAGAAGTATAATGAAGGAATCATTACACAGGTTAGTGCCAGTTGAGTCGAGCGACGGAGACGGTGGGGAGGTGATGCTGTACTGGAACAATAAACAGGTTCGTGTAGACATGGTATTATTGTGAGCGAGGAGAATAAATGTTACCTTGTGTTATTAAAGATAGGACTTAAACGTTAACATCGTCAATTTTTGCCTTTATCATATTAGTTCATGCGGACATATAAGACCTAATACAAAAACAACTCTACACCAGCATACATAATATACTTTTTTATGTTCTATCTTGACAATAAAGTACCTTTCAGTAAGAAAAGATTAAGTGTTTTATAGAAGTATATACAGGGTGACTGGTGAATTACTATCAATATTTAAGGAGAATACTCGGTACATGATTCTCATTCGAATTATGTAAAAAAAATAGGCACTTAATTTTTGACAAAATTTCCGTATAAATAAATAAAGTGTTGACACGTTCCAAGTGTTCCAAGTGTGGTCGCGTGCGGCGGCGTGCTGATACAACACCACGCCGCCGCCCGCGTATGTGTGAGTGTGTGTGTATACCTAATCTGTAGGGTGTTCATACGATGCGTAATTAATTACATAACTTTTGGTTAACTTTACTTAGAAGTTTATTAATATTTATGTTATATTAATTTTTATTTTGTCATATATGATCGTCAAATATCACGTCCTCAAATATCGATAGTAATTCACCAGTCACCCTGTATACTTATATATTTTTGATTCTAACAATATAATTAAAAACTATAGTTGTTTTGTGAAGCCAGTACTTCTAAATCACATAACCTTAATTAGAAAAAAACTATTATCTTAAACCAAGACACCTTCAATAAGTTAAGTTCAATATATAAATACACAAGTTGCATAGACAAATATTTTCCCGCGTAAAATTGAACAAACCAAATGTCATTGCTTAAGGTCACTTTGGGTGCGTTCGGGAATTTAAAGCTTTGGTTCAAATTAAATGTTTGTTCCCTAATATATCATGTTTCAGGAGTGTCGGTCACTGAACTCATTGGCTGAACAAGCCTCAGATCCTCGTAGTGATTTTGGATTACTACCGACACCAACTCGAGCTGTTCTCGAACATGTGTCTCAACAGACAGTACCTGGCATTGGACAGTCTATCACATTGATCTTATACTCGAGTAAGTTAAATCATTCCTTTAGAAATATGTATGTTCATATGGTTTAGAATTATTGATAGTAATTTTTAGTTTCCTTTGTCAGTACTTTAAAGTAGCAATACATTTTATTAAATAATAACGACTTTTTAATCACTCGAAAAGTGTACTTTGATACGGTATTTTATTGATTCACGATTCTGATAAAGAGCTGATTTACCCAAACAAAATATAGTTTTTGTCATAAACGTCGTAAGCATAGCGAAGACTACGAAGTATCTCTAAAATGTAGAAATATCTTTCAAATCAATTATCGCATTATGTCCAAATGAAAAAAATAATAAAATTATTACCTATTCAGATTTCAGATAACAAAATGAAGAATAAAAAGTCACACTCGTTGTGATCCATGTGCTAATAGTCCACGATGCTAACTAATATAACTAATATTTTCGGATTTCTACCGAAACGTCGAGATAACATAAAATACGTTTAGTACATCCGAAAATATTAGTACCATTTAAATGAATACTCTCTAAAGCCTCATATATCATGAACAACTATAACATGATCTCCAGATGCATGTCCAACCCGGTGTTATCCCACGAGGTCCGCGCGTCCTTCTGCCGACTCATGGCGCACCTGCACGTGGACCGCGACCCTCAGGAGCCCGTCACACCCGTCAAGTACGCGAGGCTGTGGGCAGAGGTCGCCGCCACCATACGAGTGAACGAGTCGGTACACACACACACACACACACATCAACATTAACACACACATGCAAACACCCCGCGTGTTAAAAGACCAGTGATGTTGTGCTAATTTGTCTTTTACTGGAATGCATATATATAAAAGGGGGAGGAGGAAGATTTCTCCTAATTTCAGTCCGTGGCCAGGATCGGCCCCATATAAAGGAAAGGAAACGAAAATCCTTACGAAACCCATTATGTATGTACAAAAACCTGCATTTTTTTTTAATAAGTTAGCTAATTCAACCATCTGTATCGTCAGAATTTAACCATCTTTAATTCCGGAACGCGTTCCTGTCCAAAAAGGAAGTACCGGAGTTAAAGTTATGTTCTGGAGCGTTCCAGCTCAACAACACCACTGAGAAAGACACTCATACATACACACATACAAGGCACACACAATGACACTACGATAAATATAAATACATGTATGATATCAATTATTTTCATTACATTAATCATTAATTAATTCTGCCACAGCTATCAATGCGTGAAAGGCGGTCAGGACGCGACCGGGGAAAAAGTGAAGAAGCAGTTCGAGTCCACCATAGACTTCGTTGAGGACTACTTGTGTAAAGACGTGACTAGGACGTGGTACTTGAGCGACCACGACCAGAACAAGTTGACCTTTGAGGTCGTAAAACTGGCTGGAGAATTAATTTACTTTGGGTTTATAGGTAAGATATTGATGTGTAGTTAAACATATTCATATAAATATTTTTTTTTTCAAGAAACTGACTTCTACTTCATATATATGTTTTAGTCTCCGTGATGATAGTACTGACGCTAAAAAATACTAGCGATGTGTTGAAATACGTCTTGATATCGAAAAACTATTACTTTGCTTATATAGAGCAAGATAATGTTAGTGAAAACACAATTAAGAGAGGCTATAGTTTGTGAGCTGTTAATATTGTGCAGATGATTATATTAAAGAATTATAATACCATGATTTCTCTAGTTCACTTCATTTGTCTATAAATGTATATTTTTCAATAAATAATATAAATTAGTCCATAATTTTCTAATTTAACACAGCTTCAGCGATCTTCTTTGGCTGACAAATCCTTATTGTCTTCTTGACTGTGTGACTGCGATCGATCTACTGAACGAAACGAACGCCCTCGCCGGAGAAGTGGAATGTGAGTTACATTAAATATAAACTAAACAAGATATACAGGGTGACTGGTGAATTACTATCATTATTTAAGGAGAATACTCGGTACGTGATTCTCATTCGAATTATGTAAAAAAAATAGGTACTTAATTTTTGACCAAATTTCCGTATAAATAAATAAAGTGTGGACACGTTCCAAGTGTTCCAAGTGTTGACGCGTGCGGCGGCGTGCTGATACAACACCACGCCGCCGCACGCCTGTATGTGTGTGTGTATACCTAATCTGTAGTCTGTTCACACGATGCGTAATTAATTACATAACTTTTGGTTAATTTTTTTGGTCCTCAAGTATCGATAGTAATTCACCAGTCACCCTGTATATACATAGGTTATTTATAAACATGTACGTACATCCTAAAAGATATATGTAAAACATTAAAAAAGTTAATTAATATATTTATTGTATAATATTCAATTTATGTTTATTTTAAAAACTTAATGTTACACGCAGCTGAGGAAAATGAAAAGAAAATATGTGAGTAGTATAGTGCAGAATAACTTTAGAAAATTATTACACATACTTGCCCTGGCCAAATTTATTGTTATTTTTTAAATTTGGAGTCTGTCATCTTTTTCCCGCCAATTTATGGAAAATATTTTTTAATATTAAAATAAGTATATACAGAATACTGAATGACTGTTAGTTTTATATAAAGTAGCCATGGAATCAAATACATTTTGTTAAAATCTAACTTCTAATAAGGAAGAACATATAAATGTATATATTTATGTCTGACCAAGATTTATATATTTGTTGCAGCGGAGATTTACAATTATTTAGTCGATTTATATATAGGAATGTATGTTGTTATTTAGAAAAAATATGTTTTTAAGTGTTGATTATACTATAAAGGATAAATCAAGACTCAGTGTTTGCAATCGAAATAATCAAAATGTGTGTTCTATTAGCAGGTAGTGGGCGGAGGGGCCCGTCAGCCTTGGCCCTGGCCCGGAAACATCCACTAGTGATGGAGACCAAGCTGAAGATTATAGAAATACTGCAGGTACGATACTGATAACAGTTCTGGAGATGTTACAACAACCGACACACATACTCAAACCAAACGCACTCTTAGCTATTTATTTGTTTTCTTTGAAAAACAAACTTAACTATGCAATTTACAGTAAACGTTGACGTCCACACTAGGCTAGGCCTGTATCGTGGAAAGTTATACTCTAATTCTTAATTATATTTATATAGATACTGATCTAAATGTTTGAATGAAACTAACTTTTTTTATGATAAAATCAAGTGTAGTAAAACGAAAATATTGGTTTATTTAAATGAATATTCACGAAAGTCTTAGATCTCAGTATGATTAAAAGGTTCTTCAAAAATTTGTATTGTACTTCTTATTCTTATTATATACTTATATTCGTATACTTATTTGTATTCTAAACTAACAATTCTTGGAAAGTATGTACTGTTTTACAAGTTTAAGAAAAACGTTTCTTCAGCTTGATACTACTATTCTTCTTCTTCTAGAAGAATAGTAGTACTACTCAAGTAGTACTACTCAAGTAGTATCAAGAGTACTACTATTACTACTAGTAATAGTAGTACTCTTGATACTACTATTATACTGACCAAAATAATACATTACTATGAAAGTGACCCAATATATACAAGAAATATTCTCCACAGTTTATCCTGGACGTTCGTTTGGACTACCGCATCAGCTGTCTGCTGTCGATCTTCAAGAAGGCCTTCGAGACCTCCTCGCCGGACGCTCTCGGTCGAGTGGACGTGGAGGCCATAGGACTACAGGCCGAGGGGATCTTCAGCTGTCGGCATGACACACACACGCATACATACATACCAACACCGACTAGGCGAGATACAAATACAAAGATCATTGTATAAGAAAGTCATTCAACTTAAATTTTAACTCGAACATGTATAAATTTAATCACATACATGTGTGATTATATTCAGTTCAGTATGATTATATTAAAATGTTTATAAAATTTATCTCGTTTCGTTGGCAATGTTCACACGTGGTGTTATATTGTATTGTATAATTTCATGTAGATGTCGGTTGTACTATTGTAACTAATCGGTGGCGAGTTGATAGTAACATGCGGTCTGTAGAATTTTTTTTCAACTATTTCTTATTAGTACTACTTTTATAAGTATTTATTACGAACACTTCTTGCTTCTATTAAACAATTACAAATTAATCAGTAAATTTCTTTCTATTAGATTCATTTGAAAACATCAAATTTTTACTATTTTTCTTTTTCACACTAGATAAATTACCATTAACTCTAAATTATCTTTCATAGGTTTATCTATAATTGGGAATTAAAATCGTAGGAAGCACTTTGAGATAAGAAAAACCATTTAATTCTTATTTCGTCATAGTGGCGATCGGTATTAATAAATTAACAATTATTTCAGAGCAATTCAGGCTGTGCCTGACAACTGTCTTCCAAAAAATGTAGATTTGTTAGTAAGATTGAAATCTATTGCATGATGCATGATAAAAGTACCGCTATTAACCGCATGTATGATGCTATGATTTCTTTGCTTATATGTGGACATCTGATATTTCTGTATTTCCTTAACTTAATTATTCGAACAAAAAGGTATTGAATAATTTCCATTACAAGGTTCTGAAATACATTTCGAACAATTAAGGAAATGTTAGAATAAAATAGTTTGTATGTTACGCATGTTTTGTCCCAAGAAGCTTTAATATTTTTTGCGAGAAATAAAATCCTCATTACTAGGGCTAACTAGTGTTACCTCTCCAACCGCAGCAAGCGATATTACACTTTACAGCTAATACAATAAAATCGACATCCTATTATCGGAAAGATTTAAGTTATTGTGAAGTGTTCTCTGTATAATTCTAACCTTTGTTTATTTTGATTTAAAAAACCCGTTACCCGAAAAGAGATTCTTTTTTAGGCATAATGCTTATAATCCTATTGTGATTTGTGATTTTCTCATATGATATTATATTTTAAACCTTAACATTGATACAATAAGGTTTAAATTTCAGAGACGGTTTAGACCTGGATGCTTGCGGCGGTCGTATGGTGTTGAGTTCTGCTGCAGCTGTGTTCCCAGGGTGCTTCGGCCAGTCTCGTTTCAGGAGCCCTAGCGCTGCTATTCCGTCATTTCAGTCAGAGACAAGAAGTTTTGGAGGCTTTTAAGCAGGTCCGCCTTATAAATTAACTAGCTGCGCTCCGCGGTATTATTTTATCAAAAATGGTTCAGCTGTTTTAGCGTGAAGAAGTAACAAACATACACACACACACTCACAAACTTTCGCAATTATAATATTAGTAGGATTAGTATTATATCAACATACCTTAGCATATTAAATATTTTACAAGATAACTCATAAATGCAAGTAATGAAGTCAACAAAAAGAGATCCTACGTAGTTTCTCATCATATCTGTGAGATTTTAATGTAATCTTTGTAGACTATAATATATTTATCATTATATTCCGTTCAGGTCCAACTGTTAGTGTCTGACGCGGACTTGGAGTCCTACAAACAGATCAAGGCCGACCTGGACATACTGAGACAGAGCGTTGAGAAGTCGGAGCTGTGGGTGTTCAATAAGGGACGCGCCGGGATTATAGATGATCACAGTGGTGAGAATTTAATATAGTTATCAAATTAATAAATTCAAAGTTTCAACTCTTTCGAATTGTCCTGCATATACCTACCGGCAAAAATTATTCCATATACATATATGATCTGCAGTTCTAAGATATTTTATAAATTTTCTATACCTAAAACATAACATAAAAAAAACAAACATTCATTCATACTTCATGAAATAGTGGTATCTACATACTTAGGACTGTATAACTTGTAGATAATTATTAGTATCACCTGTAGATGATGAAAGAATATTGTTCAAAAAATATATAAATATTATTAAACATATATAAATCAATACTTTTCTAGATATAAAAGGCGCCGTTGGTCCTGGCGGGACGGTGTTGGAGCGAAACGCGTCCTTAGCCAACGTGCGAGCACCGAGAGGAGATCGACAGGACTACGATAAGATTAAAGAGGTACAAAATAAATATTGCATTTATATCAATCTTCTACCCGGCAAGTTCCCAGCTTTTAGCCAGGGTCTGCCTTACATGTGAATATTTTTGGCTAATTGTTTTTACGACCGGCCGCCTGCCTGACATCAACTCTCTTTGGGAATGCATTAATCAGAGATGTATAAATACTCTTATAAAGTACATATGACTCGGATAAAGTACATATGATATACTTGCCAGGATTGAACCCGCGCCCTCATGCATGAGAGGCGGGCCTTTTCACCACTAGGCCACTTAAGTCATTAGTTGACTTAAGTTGCATTTATATTAATGTTTCATCTAAATTGGCGCTTCAATCTCTGATAGTCACTACAAATGATAAGTTGATGTAAAAATTTATTCGTCAACTTTAATAAATACTCAGTAGCACAGTCGACATAGTGACTAGGATACCGTATCGAACAAGTTATAAGTTTAAATTTGATGGATCCCAGTAATTTTATTATAACATAATATCGTTAATCATAATTGGTAATACAGAACTTCCAAGTTGTTTTTGTTGATAATACATAAGATATTAAACAATTTTTTTTAAATGTTTATTTAATTATCACCTAAATTCAACAGGTAGACAATAAGATTTATTTTTTTGCTTTGCGTGAATGTTGTGTACATCTGTAATTGTCACTCATATCAGGTCCTAGATTTTTTTTCTATTTTATCTTTGTTTATGTGTGCTGAATATGTGTGATGTTGATGTACCTTTTAAATAAATAAATTTAAACATTGTATAAAACAGATCCTGGAACGTATGATCGAGTACTGTACCCAGGGCAACACGGCGAGGGAGGGGGGCGACTCGAGACCGCGGAGACACGAACAGAGGCTACTGAGGAATATAGGAGTACATAATGTAGTGCTGGACCTGCTGCAGGTTGGTCGAGGAGCACTTAAAACAGTATATCGATACGAGCAGGATTTAAACCCTATATATGTGTATGTATGTATTTATATATATCACAAATGTAAAACAGTATTCTCAAGGGTGGCAGGTTTCATTACTAGTCACGTCAATAATTAATAGTTCTTTCTATTTGGACTTCAATACAAGTCTTAGCTCCTTGCTGTAATAATAAAACCAATAGTACTAAATACTAAAATGCTGAAGTGCAGGAAAAGTAAATGTTACTGCTTTTTTAAGTTTTTTCTTTATCTTCTCACTTAAAAGCCATTGTTGCTTTTACAAAACTGTTTCCGGAAATATGCTATACCTACACTCATGATATAGGTGTAAATCATTTAAGATCTACGTTTATTATCTACAAAGCAAAAAAAGGAAAGAATAATTTTCTGCTGTATGTTATAAATATATTCTGTAATCAATTATTTCCAGGTGCCACACGATGAGGACGACGCTGCTATGGACGAGCTGCTGGGCCTGGCGCACGAGTTCCTCCAGCACTTCTGTCACGGGAACACACAAAACCAGGCCATACTACACAAACACCTGGATCTGTTCCTCAACGCTGGAGTAAGAACAGGCTATGGAATATAAACAATTGTACTGTTATTTTGTTTAATATCGTATTTTATTATAATTATTATTACAATTAGTTGGTATTTTTTACATATATGTCTAAGTTTTCACAGTGTCCCATAAACCAATATTGGTTTTTCCGTACACTGGAATTCATCGTCGTTAACTCACAGTTACTTTGACATCTCAAGACATTTATATTTTACTAGAAGACCCAGCGAACTTCGTATCGCTCTATAATAATCCAGAAATATCTGTTACGTTTTTTAATTTATATTTTTGGAGTTTACCTTTAAGCCATAAATCTCCGTGTTTTGAAGTGCGACAGAATGATTGACATATTACATAGTCAGTTGTAAAATCTAATGTCAAAAAACCGTTTGTATGGGAAATAAAAAAGCACAGTTTTTAGGGTTTTCCCGGAAATTAATAAAAAGTGCACAATCTAACAAATAAGTAACATATGCAAGGTAAATGTAACCTGATTATTATTATTATTATATATATACCATAGCGCTAAATTATTGTTTTACAATTATAGTATAGCCAGCGATCAAAGCATCAAAACGATAGTTTTATTCAGACAACTTTTTACATCAGATCCGCGAAGCCCAGACGGTGTGCTCGATATTCGAAGAGAACGCAGTTCTGTGCGCTCACGAAGGGAACGAGAAGGTCGCCGCGCACTTCGTACACTGCATCAAATCCCGCGGACGGAGGCCCGCCTGCCTCAAGTGTCTGAGAACTATAGTACGAGCGGGACCTCACCATATACGGAGGGGCCAGGACCTGGTCATGCAAGAAGTAAGTTCCTCTCCCTTCACCCATCATAGAATACATGGTTTTAAGAGACGAAACCTCTTAAAATTCCATGATTTCCCGTGGTAGCGAGTCTATCGTTGTAGTGAGAGGGGCTTCAATAGCTCTTAGGACTTGTGACCCAGGTGTAGGTTTAAGAGGTCCCTATCTAACGCGCAGTAAACGCTCACCTCCATTTTTAAAGCTCCTCTATCAAATATTACCTAACATAAAATTCTATTTTCAGTAATATAGTTATGTTATATCACATGCTTATGTCGTCAATGTATTATGTAAACACGATTTTTTCTCTGTTGTTCAATAATAAATCTATCTTCGTTAATAAATATCTATTCTATCATTTGAGTTCATGAATGGAAACTCGGAAACGCTCAGTATTTAGTTAAACGACGCATACTTGTACCAAGGTACATATAATACATATATTTAATCGTACTTCATGTTTCATTATAGATGCTGAATGCCGGCGAGGACGTGCTGGTGTTCTAC